GCCAGGGATCACTCCTTCTAGTCATTCGCGACGTCGCTAATAGTTACTTCAATTGCATCATTTTTGGTCCCCAATCCCTCCCATCTCTTGGACATAACTGTTCAACCAAAAGACACCTGATGGTGGTTCTTAGGTGTTTCCCACTCCATCTGATAGTGTTCTTTCGATTCGGCTACTCAGAATAGGCAAGAGAGCACTTCTTCTAGTCGTTAGCGACGTCGCTATGGGCAGTGTTGAAAATTAACGAATTTGGGTCATTTCGCCGCCGTGTGTATATATACAGTAGGAGATGAGTGAGATTTCAAGCAATACAAACGATATTCAATGAGCTTATAAAGAAGACAAAGAGCTTTGTAACAGTACCCTTCTTGTGTTCATAGGTGCTCTGGTTGTGAAGTAATCAGTCTCACCATGGTGAAGATAGTGTTTTAGCGATATTATGACTAAATCAGTTTGAGTAAAATTACTTTTTTTCCTGTAGTGCGCGGTAGGCTTTTTACGGTTAACGCATTTTATATCGAATTAACTTGTACAGTATTAGCACCGGGTTGGGTACCAGGTACGAGGTACGTAGGTACCGGTACGACATGTATTATCTTGTACTGTTGTAACTCTTGTAATGTAACAACCTACTCGTACGATTTCGACTCGTACCGTACGGTACGACAGAAAATCTATTAAGGTTATTCACCAGCTACCGGTACTCTATTCGGGATTCATTGGTACGTACTGTATTCGGGATTCATTGCTATCCTGATACATATAAGCCTTTCAGGTTTTCTCTTGTCAGAATACTCTTGCGTTAGATCTGAACTCAACGATTGGTCGCCGAATCGTAGCACGTGCGCACGCACATCGCTGATGCGACGTCTTCTTGCTAATTACTTCTAATTACTTACGGAGCGGAAGAAAGATCTGTATTTGCAACGGCAGTAACCGTTGAATCTTACACAGCGATTCTGATTTCATTAAGTAACCGTAGGAACGGCGAACCATCAAAACCTCCTCTGTTCCGGCGATGGTCTCATTTTGAGGTACTGCCGTGCATCGCTCAAACCAACGCGTGTTCGTAATTTCGAAAACTTGTCGACGCTAAAAAATAATGAGAACAAGGCTCGGCTATTGTTGTTCGTCCGCTGAATTTGTGAGAGGGCGGTTGGGATTTTCGGGATTTTCCGAGACACTCGCTTTTCCCTCGCTCGCGGGTATGGTAATTAGAATTTATTTCTCTTGAGGGTCGCTTTCAATTGGAGTTTTAAGCGTAAGCTAGCAAAACGAATGACTTGTTATACCAGCTCTACTCCATGTGAAGAATCGCGGTGGTCCGAGAATTCTCTAAATGCTTTTGTAGGTGTCGCCCCCCATAGTATCCGGTAGTACTAAAAGTATTGTAGCCCCTAGACAAAGTGGCAGAAAAGGCAGGGCTAAAAGAAAGTGCGTACCGGAACGAAAGTTTCCATCAATCCGATTCCCTCCGTTCTGTTCTTAGCTTCACCCATCACTGCCTCATTGGCAAGACAATACAAATTGGGAAGGAGGCCTGAATAGAACACTGAGTAGTCGAAGAATAGAGCAAAGCGGAACATATCACTCCATGTCACCACCTGCAAGTTCATACCATAACGTACCTTAGCTCACCACAACTTAGCACACTGCACACTAAAACAATCAGCATCCGGCTGTATCCCATTTGATCGAATCGAATCCACGCATACCACACACCATGTACGCCTCGAGGGTTACCCCCGTGCAACGAATGCGGACCCACAGCTCCACAGCAATTGATACCACTACAAACAGTTACAGTGGCTATCGAAGGAGTTCTTCCATGTCTACAGCAATATCGCCAACCATGTCGACATCGACAGCGCCATGCATGTCTCCTACAGCATCTTCAGTCTCGCGAACTGCCCTGGACGCAGCTGCTTCGGCCTCTAGTGCTTCTCGTAGGAGTAGTCGAAGCGATGGTGCGGGCAACAGAACGAACACAAGCAGCGTGAACAACACAAATAGCAGAAACAGCAACATGAATGGAGACTACCATGTCTTGAAACATCATGTCGAGTTGGCCCGAAGCAAGGTCCACGCAGAACGGGTTGACCTGGCGGAGAAACTGGACGAACTAGGAGAACACCATGTCCGGAGAAACGAATACGAGGAAGCGATGGATGCCTTCACAGAAGCTTTAAGGGAGAAACGGTCTGTCTTTTGGAACATTGGTAACTGCAACGTGAGGAACCTTCCGAACTCGAACACTACTGCTTATTTGTCTTCTTCTGGTCACCCGACTAGTCCCAGGCGAAAAGGCAAACACAAAAATAGTAATAGCAATTCCCAGGACGATCACACATCAGACAATGCCAGTGCTTTCAGTTCTTCATTGTTGAGTGGAATTAGCACAAATTACGGAGGTAGTATGAATACTGTTGGCGAGAGAGACAATCGAAATGATGACGAGGAGGAGGAAGAAGACTACGATCACAACAAATCCTGCGGTGAGAACAGAAGAAACACCGATACAGACTATGCCGAACACATTAGGGTACATGATGCAACGATTGACGCCTTGGTCCAAACCTTGCGAAACATCGGCAACGTCCATTCGCTACGGGGGGAACAGGACGAAGCAATGAGGTACTTTACCGAGGTTACCACCCTCCGGGCACAGAAGCTATCGAATGAATCCTTGTACGAATCCAACTGCCAGGATGCAGACGACGCCTCGGTCGAGACTCGCTCCTTCCTCTCTGGGCTGGGGGGACATTCGGCCATTTCTACGGAACAAAACAATTCCTCTGTGGGAGATAGTGCAAGCGCGTTTAGTTTTAGTGCATTTGGTAGTACAAACAGCGCTGCGGCTACGACAAACGCCACGGAAGAGGTTTTTAAAGGAACAGGAACAACCGGTACTGGCACCGCGACAAGAACATCTAATACTGCTAATAACAGTGGGGAGGAGAATCCGGCGCTCATGTCGGAAATCAATGAGGACGTTAGAGCACTGGACGATCTCTTTCGAAGCATTTCCTTTCGACAGGGAACTGCAGCGACTCTCCCACAGGGATTGATGTTAGCACCGGGAGCTGTGGCCTCTGAGAAACGCAAATCCAGGTCGTCTTCGAGAAAAAGTAAGAAACATAAGCGCGGAAAAAGTCAAACGAACAACAACATAGTTGTGAATACCAGTAGCACAAGTGGTGCAACAGAAGCAGCTCTCTTTGTGCGCGAGGGTGCAACTGCTGCTCCAACGGTGACGGCCCAGACCGGCCCAGCATCACCATCATCGGCATCAAACAGTGGTGGCAACCTCTTTTTGTTCGCAATGGGACCTGTTTCAAACGGCAGTAGTGAGGCAAGCCAAGCACTCAACAAGTATCGATCTACTCTAGATTTGTTCATCCAAGAGGACCTTGACTCTTCCAAACTCCGACCACATCAGGAAAAAATGAATTCATTTGCCCTACGTATTGACCTCCAGCAAACTGACGATTGCCTGCCCTCGTCGTCCAAGCAAAAAACTAACAACCCCTCCGAAACCAGAGGGGATCTCGAATTGGCACTAGAGATTTATCGCCAAGTTCTCACTGCCTGCAAGGAAGTATCCAATTTGTCGCCTTCAACCCACAAAGACTTAAATAAGCAGATATCGATGCCGTTGCAGACATCCTCCTCGGGATCATCTTGTTCTTCCAAAAAGCAGCAGCAGCATCATCAGCAGCAAGGACTAGATCAAATGCACGGAGGAGGCAATGCAACAAAAAATTCCGCTTCCCAATCTATACTCTCAATGTGCTCTGCCGAATCATCTGCCTCGTCGTCGGTGTTCTCCTCCGAATCATTTTCTTCCGAATCTTCTGCCTTGGCGGAAACAGGCAACAACTATCGGCAACGAAGAAGACAATCCAAGAGGGAACGCCGTCAACAGCTTGCCGCAAACATTGCTTCTGTTTTGATCTGCATGGGAAGTGTTTACTATCGATTAGGAAACCGCAACGAAGAGCTCGAGGCCTACAAGCGTGCCAAGAGTGTCTACTCCAAAGCGTTTGGAGAGGACCATGTCTTTGTTGCCGGAACCCGCAAAAATATTGGCATGGTCTTAGCAGAGAGAGGCCAATACGGTTTGGCACAAAAACAATTTGAAAAGGCTATGTCCATCTACGTCAAAGCGAGCAATATGAGGCACGAGCAACTGAAGCTAGAGGAGAAAAATCTACATGAAGAAGTGACAGCAGGGACGAGAAGTAGCAGCAATGATGTAGATTCCCAGAAGAATAGCTACAGCTACGACGCTAGCATGAACCGAGATGTAGCTTCCGTAATTTCTTGTATCGGAAACGTCAAGAATCGGGTAGGAGAACTCAATGCAGCCTTGACGAAATATCTCCAAGCACTCCAAATATACAAGTCTATTTATGAGCGACACGAACGCAGCGCAAATAATGGTGACAAGTACAGTGATCACGAACACATCGAAGCACTCAGAGACTTTACCGCAACCCTCAAGGTCATTGGAATGGTACACGCAAAACGAGGAAGTCTCGACACCGCCATGCAATTCTTCGAGGAGGCCATGACTCTGTTGACAGCATACGAAGAAAAGGCCGATAGGTCGACGAAAGACGGAGATAGTAATGGGTGCACCGATGCTGGCAAATGCGGGAAGAACGATGATAAAAGCAGCACTGCCAATCTCAACAAGAATAGCGCAAATAATATGTTGGCGATTAGCGAAACCAAGGCATCTATTTTGACACGAATAGCAAGTATTTATCTCAAAAAGGGAGCATTAGACGATGCCATGGTATCATATCGCCGAGCATACGATCTAACAGTACAGAACCGCGGCAACACCACCAACCATCCTGAAATTGCCGGCATTCTTCATTACATTGGTGGAATCTACCACAAGAGGGGGTAAGCCGAATGGAGCGTCCAGTGGTAATCTTGCGCTATGTGAGTACATTCTTTGCTTGTTTGGTAACTGTTTCCTAACTTGCTCCTTTTTATATTTGTTAATATTTCATCGGATGCTGTTACACCGGGCTTTCAATTTGAACTGATAAAAGTGAATATGAGGAAGCAATGTCGTGCTATCAAGAATCAATCCGAATCTATCATACTACTCTCGGAAGCGACCACCCCACTGTTGCTGGTACCCTAGTGATGGTCGGAAGCATTCATTACAAGAGACGGCACTTAGATAGTGCAATGATGTTCTATCGGGAAGCTCTTCGATTAAATCGAGATGCATACGGGATACATCACCCGGATGTTGCTCCAATTCTGAAGAGCATCGGGACAATCCTGACGAAGAAAGGGGAATACCACGAGGCCTATGATCTATTTCGGGACGTCCTAAGTGTCAAGGTCACAGTCCACGGAACAGATCACCCGGAAGTCGCATCTGCCTACAAGTCACTAGGTAATGTCCACTATAAACTTGGCGAACTTGGAGATGCCGAACGACAATACAGACACGCTCTTTCCATCTATCGAAAATCAAAGGGAGATGATCATCCCGATACGATCGGTGCTAAAACCACTATTGAACACTTGCGGTATTGGATGAGAGAAAGAGATCAACAAAAATTGCAGCAACAGCAAAGAGATCAGAGATGATTTCTGAGTGCCGGCCAGCCTGTGACAACTCTTGCGCCGCAAAAAAAAGCTACACTATGAAAATTGCAGCAAAGAGGATTGAACACCAAATTTTGATTTCGCCTTCCATGATCTGACCAATGGCATGGTTTGAAATGATTCATCTATTCACGGTAGGCTTCCGAAGAACTTCTTGTCTAGTACTGCATCCAGGTCCAAATGTACTTGGACGATATCATAACTTATCAACGTATCACTACTGTACAATATGGGTACCGTATAGTAATTTTTCTTTTCTTCTGATAGTATTTTTAACTCATTCTTATAGATTTGATGTACTGTTAACTCTGGATGACTGTACAGCTGGTGTAACATTGGTAAGAGAGTATGTGCAACAACAAGCAAGGAGTCGTAGTTTGGACCAGAGGAACCACCACCGCTACTATGTATAATAGTGATAATGATACTAATAGTAGTAGCACTAGTAATCCTAGTAGTAAAATCACTATTGGGTGAATTCCGTTATTCTGAAATCTCTCAATTTGATAGACTGACAGACCAAAAAATTAGAGCATGTGACTCCAGACTTGGCAGATTTAGAACTGGTCAAAAAAAATGTCCTAAATACTCTACTTTTAGAGTTGAACCCATCATGAATAAATTTTCCAGTCCTTTGAAAGATTCAACAGAAAGGCCCACCAAAATAAAGACTGATTAAAAAAAATTAAGAATCCATTGTTCTAAACAACACTACTAAAAGAGGATAAACCATGGAGCCTCTGTTAACAATGTCACTAAGGCACCTCTGTTGACCATTGAGCTGTATAAATAGTGTCCCAGTCAGTCTTTTTAGGCACGACATTATATTTCCTCTGTTTGTTGCATCAAATAGAGCAAGAGGAGAAGGTGGGTGACTGCAAAGAGGTAGTAGCTCATTTTCCAATCCCTCATATGAAACAAAATGGCAACAGCCCCCCTAGCAACAGCCACCACAGAGTCAGAACTGTTAACTACTAGTACCCTGAAGAAGAGCTAGAGAGCCTCATGGAGTTGATACTGGAGGTACTCCCCATCAATGCAAAACAGTGGAATACTGTGGTCACCAAGCATGGTGCTACAAACTATCCCTCCTTTGATAGAAGCAAGAAATTGAATAGGAACAACTACCACAATGATGATGATGATGAGGAGGAGGATGATGACAAACAAGAACCCCAACAAGAACCCCAACAAGAACCCCAACAAGAACCTCAGCAACAAGAACCCCAGCAACAAGAACCCCAACAACAAGAACCCCAACAACAAGAACCCCAACAACAAGAACCCCAACAACAAGAACCCCAACAACAAGAACCCCAACAA